TGCGTGTGCTGGAAGCGGGCAGCGCTGCAATTGAAGCTGCCCAGGCCAACGCCGAAACCAAACACCTGTATGAATCAGCCTGACCTCCAAGTAAAAAAAGTGTACGGGCCAAGCAGCTCAAAAGCTGTCAAGTAAAGAAACCGAGCAAAAGGAAGGCTGAGGCAAAGCCCCGCAAGAAGCGCACCGGCTGCAAGACGCTGAGATGCGTAACCAAAGTCTTGGGTTGAGAAGCAATCTCGAAACACAGGCTCACGGGCGATGAAACAGTAACATATCCCAGATTGACCTGGCTTCAACTGGATGTCCCAACCAGCCACGTCTAGCAGTCTTGTGTGAGCATGTGGCGAGAGTCATACCAGGACAATTTGGTTCATGGTGTTGGTGTGTGTGACAGCTCTGATAGCAAAGAGTTTTTTTGCAAGGAATGGAGTCGGTCCCCACTCTGCTGGGCTTGGGGATCCTGACGAGGAAACCCAGCAGAGCATCCGAAACTCCAAATAAACAGGCAGGGCCTGGGCGGATGTCTCCGCAGCTGGCGCGCCTCTTTCTTTCTTTTGTCCGTTCGAAACTCTGGATACGTTTGTGATGGGACTGTCTCAGACAACAAGCAAAACACGAAGACCAGGTGACAGACCAGGTGACTTTCTCCTCTCGAGGAGCGGATCAAGTGTGTATCCCACTCTGGGTTTTCTGATGAAGTGCCCAGCGGGGCTCCAAGGAGCCGGAAACCAACCTTTGATTTTCACTTTCCAACTCCGTAGAACAGGCAGAGCAAATCTGTCACAGTCCAGCAGCGTTGCCTCAAGTGGTGTTCAACTTCTTCACTGCCGCAGAGGAACCAAGCGCCTCATCCTCTGCGCTCCTGACGCAGATCTCACGACCCGGAGTGAGTGAAGACACACTTGTAGGTCCTGTGGTCACCTCCGCACAGCGAACACACGCGACATTGCGAGCCGGGACTTTTCAACTTCCCCCAGGCACTTTTCCACCGCCCGGCGATCTTGTAGATCGGCCGCCTGGCAATTTTTCAAGCATACAGGAACGACCCCGCCGTCGCTCCAGAAAGCCGCGCAGGGCTGAATCAAACACAAAGAGGAAGGCGTCACAGTCGATCGCGGCATCGACGCCGCCGTAGACATGTTCGGTCGCCTCGTCGGGAAAGAACTCGTTCCCCTTGCCCAATACGCCCCCAACAACGGGAGCCAAGGGCTGGCGTAGACACCGAACTGTTTGCAGCTGCCCCGAAGCCACCGAATACGGAGGTGGAGTTTCCGGACCGACAGGGTCCCCAACCCGGACCTCCGCCAACAGGGCCACCGCACGCTTGGAGTGAGAAACCCAGCGCGCGAAACGCTTAGGGATCCACAACACGCAGGACAGAGAACTGCCCCGTCTGGGAGAAACCCTTGCGCATGTTCCCAACCCTGCAGGCAACTGGGGTACTCAGCCAAAGGCGAGACCCCCACTTCCCCCGCGTCTTGGAGATGGCCATTCAGTCCTTACAGCGGCAAGTTAAGGAATACACCCAGCATGACGCACAGCCCGCATGCTCAAGGGCCAATGTTGGGGAGAGATCCGCTTTCAGTTTCCAGGGGCCAAGCGCCCGACCTCCCGGAGCGTTTTTTCCCGTGCCGACAACGGACCTCCGCAGAGTTTCTTTTCCCTGCAGACAACGGACCTCCGGTCGACGGAGAGAAGTTTGAACTTTCTAGCCCGCGGGAATGGTACCAACACATGGCAAGAACGCCGCCAGATCAGGTAGAGACCATCCTTAGGTTCTTACTCCAGGGAGTTACCGCTACGCCTGACCAAATGGACCCCCAGACTTTGAAGCGCGTGGCGCAGTCCATTGTGAGTTCCCAGTTGCCATACGAGCGTGGTATTGCAACCCCGCCAGCAATTTTCATGCATCGAGGCGGGGTTGCGGTCTGGATTTTTGATTTGCTAGGCTTTCCGGGCAGCCGATCCCCTCGGCTTATCCGACATGCAGCTGCCGGCGAGTATGACATTTGATGGAATATTTCACCAGCCAGGAGGGTCTCACAGGCATTACGCGGAGCGGCCTTGTAATGCCATCGAGCCGCGACGCCATGTCTATGACGAATGAAGAGACCCCGCTGGGCTTTTTCTGCCGGGCTGGCTTAGAGTGTTGGGATGAAGCTTCATTTGCGCAGTGGGCCACCACAGTGATTACTCATCCCAAAAAATAGCATTGGGGTGTCTGTGGCGGGCAAGTTTTCAGGCACGCATTACAAGTACAGAGCAGCGAACACCAAAGCTGAACAACAAAAGCTCAGATTTTATCCGGTCACGCGCTTGGTACTTTTTGCATGATGCCAGTGACTGGGACAGCTGGGGCAAGTGGAAGCCCACCACAACCCTTGGCAAAGTCACAGATCCGCAAAGAGCGGAGCCAGTGCACAATGCCTAATTGGAACCTGCCCTACTTTTCTTCCTGTAATATCAAAGCCGTGAAAGAGTCAGTCTTTATTGTGAGTTC